CTGTCTGTCTGTCTGTCTGTCTGTCTGTCTGTCTGTCTGTCTGTCTGTCTGTCTGTCTGTCTGTCTGTCTGTCTGTCTGGTGGGTTGAATGTGTCTACTCTGTCTAATTACGGTTAGAAAGTGGATACCTTTTATAACGTTCTAAAGTCAAATCGAGTCACACTTGAAGATGACAGATAGCGCCACTTGACTACACCACACCAATATGGACATTACATAATCACACGGGATTCGCGATGCCAATCAAAATTCCCCTCTATTTGCTTCTATCGAACATGCACGCCCCTAAGGGAGTGTTGGATAAGATCAAACACTCCCGACTGTGGCTGTCCTGAGCCCGAAGGCGATTATGAAAGCTAGCCTTGGCACATTGATTGATTGTACAACGAGGGTGGACATAGACCAGTTAATTATTCCATAACTCGATTTTCAAACTTGAGATCTGACACGCCATGCTCGTGTCATTTTCAGCTCTCGGAATTGGTTGAATGATACGACATCATACCGAAATTGTGTTGTCTCTTTCAAAAAGTATTCTTCTAAAAATCGCTTTTAGTTCTTAGGATAATTAGTATGTCGACTTCTAAAGTAAGTTTCTGGTCTATCTATCTATCTATCTATCTATCTATCTATCTATCTATCTATCTATCTATCTATCTATCTATCTATCTATCCATCCATCCGTCCGTCTGTCCACACAATAAAACTTGAATTATTCAGTCATTACGCACAGTTGCAAAAAGATTTGTTTGAGGGATGCCATTTGTAGGTCCTCTGTCGTTTTGCTTTGGTCCGTCCATAAACACAAGATCTATTTTTTGTGTTTAACTTCCATTTCACTGAAACTCAAAGAGTTACTCCTTTGTCAATGTTATTCTTCATATCTTTCAGATATGGAGTCATATGAAGCACTGATGGAAAATCAGATGCCACCAAATTCTTCCAACATGGTAGACTACCCCGGATCCTTCCCTCAGTTTCCAAACAATGGAAGCATCCCCAGCTCTTACAGCAATCTGCCCGGCATGTCAGGATCTTTCTCTGGTCCCCAAAGCCAAGGTACCGGTGGAGGGAACTTGCCCATAGGAGCGTTCAGCACTCCCAGTTCACAGTCTGGCTATGGCAATATGTCATCTGCTACTGGTTCATCATCGTTCTCCATGCCCTATGACGCCCCATCAATGGTGGGGACTTCAGCTATGGAGATGTCTGCCCCTCCGATCGTGTCTCCCACTACTAACAAAGTGATACCGTCATGCAACTACTGTGGTCTGGTCCTGTCCTCCAGCAATGCGCTCATTGAGCATAAACGAATTCACACAGGAGATCGGCCATTTGTGTGCCATGTCTGTAATAAACGCTTCACACAAAAGGCTCACCTCAATATTCACAAAAGAACTCACACAGGCGAGAAGCCGTATGCCTGTCACATTTGCCACAAGCGTTTTGCTCAGTCTTCCCATCTGACAAGTCATAAACGGATTCATACAGGTAAAGTGAACTTTTCTCTGTTCCTTTTGATAATTTACTTCATTACACTAGTTTTTCCTTGTTAACGCTTTGGAATTTACGCTATTTGCATCTTGTTGAAAGTATCTATAACACTTTATGAATTGCTTGTCATGAACATGTAATTACTAATTGAGTCGACAGATCTTTACAGTTTCTAAATTATGAAAATGTCAGTGTCGTGGAGAATAGTCATGCTTTCAGTGTCAGTGAATCTGTAAATAATCTTTATGAGCAAAATATTGTGCTCTCTGGCTGCTTCACCATGCTCCATACTTTCTCTTCTTTTCAAGTGTAGAGTAGATTGATTTAGATTGGAAATATTTTGCACCCCTATTGAGTAAAACATAATATATAATTTAGGAGGCAGGCTGTCTGGGCCTACTGCGGGTCAGTGAGATAGTGTATCCCGACAGAAAGACAGAGATACACTTGATTTTAAACTAACTTCCTTTTATGTGAGAATTGAATTGAAATATTTTGCATGCTGGGACGAAGAGTCTAACCTCTTCACCTTAAATCATAAATGTCTGTATACTGTATGTCAACAGGGTCAGTTTCCTTTTGATAAACAATTAGTAAAGTGTAAATGGGCTGTTTGTTTAATTTTACTTCAAGAAGGTAGTTGACTTTGGTTTTTACCATACAATTGACTTGCTTGTTTCTGATTTTGAAGTACATTTCATTACGAAGTGTGACTGTTACACTTTTCTGACTAATCTGTGTTTCTTTAAATAGCTGGCAAAGTTATAGTGCATAACTTGAACAAACATAATACTGGTCATTGAAGTAACTGGTGAAGATAATTGTCTGATTCAGAGGTACTTAACTAACTTGACATTGTTGTGCTGGGGTCTCCAAGACAGACTTTAAAGACTTGTCTATAGAGTTTCCCCTCTACAATTACTCTCCTCCTTTTCTTTATATGGTACTCTATTTACAGTAATACCTCTAATCTTAAGCCCTTACATGACCTACTGTGTTGCAAGTTCCATAAAACTTACTCATACTAGAAATATGACAACTCTTTCTCATAATAATCTTTATAGTCTGTTAAGATGGGTTTTGTCTGTCTTGTTATTGTTTTTCCTACTTTGCATTTAAATAAGCTGAGGTTATAGTTTTGTAAATGATAGTAGGACTAAGATGGTAATATTGAATAAATTAGCTAACTGTACTGAGGAAGTTATTCTGAAGTTGTGCGAACCTTCTCCGGAGAAGTACAAGACTATAGAGAAATATCACTGCAAAATTTGAGCAGAAGTTTCAAAACGTAATTGAGTATATTTATTATTCTATTTTGTGAAATTGCAGATGAGAAGCCGTATGTTTGTGGAATTTGCAATGTGGGCTTCACGCAGAAGCAGCGGTTAGACGCCCATCTGAAGAAGCATCTGGATCAACCAGGCCAGGAGCTTGGAAGACCTCCACCCTTGATGACTGCATCAGGACAGCTGGAGCAGTATCGGCAAGGGTGAGTGCCAGTGAAAGTTGGCACCGTAAAAGGGTTCGTGCCTAAACTGGCTTGTTGTTAAATACACCTTTGATAAACATTTTAAAAAGATGAGCCCTGTTTGAATAAGCTGTGGATGGAAATACTAATATAATGTGCAGACTGAGGCATTGTGGAACTTAAAAAAGATACAAACTATCTGCCAGTGTTGGGGCATTACCATAGTGCTTGTTCCCCAGCATGCATTTGAAAAAATATTTTGGTCTAAAAATGTTGTATGGGAATATATTCAAGAAGCTTTCTATCCCAAGTCTTTTATGTATGTCCATAAATATCTATGAGCCATTCTTTACAGGTTAGCATGGCTAAAACACCCCGTTCAGTTCATCCATGACAATGATAGAAATGAAGAATTTGTATGAAATTTAACTTTTTCTACCAATAAATGAACAAACGATTTGAAAGGAAGTAGGGTGTCATCCACAGCTTTATAAAATGAAGTTATGTTGCATTGAGAAGTAAATCCTTTTACAAGGTTTGGTCATAAGTCAAACCATGGATTGTTGCCATCTGCTGCATATAAGAATAAGTAGTTTTTGTCCCTATTATCATACACTATGTAGTAAGTAATGTTGACTGTTATCATGCTTGTATTCAAATGAAAATTATTCCCAACTCCCAAATGATAAATACATGTAGTGATTCAGGTTAACTGGATGCCGGAGAAAGTGAGGGTTTTTTTTACAACTAATCTGACTGATATCTTTGTCTGTTTTTGTTGCCAGACCAGCCAATGATGATAATGCCTTCATGCAGATGATTGGCCATGGAATGCCTTATGTGAAGCAAGAGCCAGATCTGATGGTGGGAGACGGAAACTCTGTTCCCATGGCAAGGTCAGCTGGAGATGTCAAACGTGCTAGTCCCATGGGGAGGAGCTCTGGGTCAATGGGGCCAGAGTCTCTCATCAAAAGTCAGAGGTCAGAGGATGAGGGTCAGGGTAAGTCTAACAATGGAGGTCAGAAAGGGGAAGAGGGAGAGGAGATTGAGGGGGAGAAAAGTCCAAGCATCTCGGCCCCAAGCTTTTCCTCTGAGGGGATGTTCCTCCATCCTTCAGGCTATGTGGCTTACGGGGCTGTGGAGGATGGGGAACAATCAAGTGAGCAACCAGCAGCTTCTGAAGACGCCGGCACACCCAGCACTGCTACTCACCCTCAGTCCACATTGCCCGCGTCTGGTGGTCACCGGCGAAAACCCACCGTGGTGCGGAAGAGGTACAGTGAGTCGCCTGCGGAGGAGGAGGACTTATCGCCTGCTCAGACCCAGGATGGCAGCGGCTCCAGTGTATCTGAGTTTCAGTCTTTTCAACCGCTACAGGCTAAGACTCCTAGCAATGACTCCAGAGATGAGGAGGCAGAGGAGGGTAATGCTGATGAATTCCATGATACTGGGGAAGTACTAGATGACAAGAGAGATCCCCCGTACCAGAGTAGTGCCGGGCGTACGCTTGGTCCTGGTGCATCCTCAAAAGCTGCCTCCTCTGCTGTTTCTCAATCACAAGGGAACATTATGGAAACTCGCTCTCACAGCCGGCGTTCACTGTATCAGAGCCAGCCGCGCTTGCAGCACTCAAGTCCTATGAATGGAGAGCGGATAAATGCGCCCTCAGGCAGAAGCGCAGGCAACCTCACCTTCTCTGGTCACACCGGCACCATCTCCAGCTCAGGCCTGGTAAAGGTTAACAATCGTGTCTCCCTGGTTAATTTCACGGCAGAAGAGCTCGTCTCCCACCTGATGAAGCGGGATGATGTCCACAAGTGTCAGTTCTGCTGCCTGATATTCCAGGACGCCGCCATGTACCACATCCACCGCAACATGCATGACAAAGGGGACATACGCAGATGTAACATGTGTGGGAAGCTGTTGCAGGACAAGTATGACTTCACTGCACACTTTCTGAGTATGCATCAAAGCTAGTCACGGGTAAAAGATTGCCCAAAAGGAGATAGAGCTGTGCTAGTATAGGTACACAAATGGAAGAAAGCATTATTGTCTTTATTCCCTCTGGAAAAATTATGTTTCTGTGGTTTATACAAAAACCATCAACTGATTCTTTGCAATGTTTGTTCCTAGTCCAGGCATTCATTATTCTCCGAGCTTCTGCAATATTTTGCTGATTCATCTATGTGTCGTGAATGCAATTGTTTGCTTTCTGTGATGAAATTATTATTGAAGATTACTTACCTGCATCATGGGCATTATTGTAATTTCTCAATAAGGTGTAAGTTGGGCCATAGATTTCCATCCCTAAGGGAAATGATCAATTTTACTTCTATAGCACGCATAATGAAGCTCAGTGTTTGTCAGGCTGAAGTAGCTTATTCTACTGACGAAATAATGACACATGGAGCTTAAATCAAATGACTTTTTCGAATTTGTGAGTTGAATATTTCCCATATGAATGGTAACTTGTGGCTCAGTCTGGTAATTAATTCACTACTTTATGGGAAGATAATGATGCATTGAAACCCCTAATAATATATTGTCATGTGTTCTTTTTGTTTCTTTGTATGCACTCATTTGATGAACTAACCATAAATGGCATCTTTGATGTAGTGATTAGGCGCTTTGCCATCACGGGCAGACGACATGAGTTGGAATGTTGTATCCCTCTCCACATGACCCTGACAGGCAGGACTGAATGAGCCTGCCTCTTAAATGATCTCAAGTGCTCCGATCGGGCTTAAAACGTCTACCATTACATTAAAAAAAATATAACTAACCCAAGACACGTTGTATCTGTGTCATTTGTTGTAAATTTACTGTCGCTTTTCTAGTACAGTTAAATTACAATTTGTAGACTAATGCAGTGATAGTTCACATGTGTGTTTACACAGCATAGCTTTGAATTATGACATCCTAGACCAGGCACTGTCATGGCCACTGCTCTTTGCTCTCTATAAAAACGCCCCTGGGCTGGCATGCACCACCGGGGGCGTATATTGGGGGGCAAGCCTACAGTCTTGCTATAATCAAGTACTCTTGCAACCTTTCCCGTCTTGCCCTCCTTCTGGTTCCAAATAGAGTCAATAAATGGTGCATTCCATGGAGGACAGGAATAACATCAGAGTGCACAGTCTTGGAAATTATAACACCAGTCTATGGTATTAAGTTACTTTCTCTTTGTAGTAAAATTATTGTGTCTGTACTTGTGTAGTAGAGTGACTATCTATGAGGTGCAAAGTAAAGTTCTGTGAATTATATTTTATAAGAATAAATGCCTCAAAGCAGCCATTAAAGGAAAACGCTTTTGGACACAGAACTAACCTCTGGGAGTAGTTTGAAAAAGAAAGCTGTTTTTTAGACTGTTATGTCCAGAACACTGGGTCTGTTGCCCAGGAGGGGGGTTCTGACTGCAGCATGATGAAGGAAGCCTCCTCGCAATAAAATACTGAGAATTTTTTTACTCTTGAAGTTCACAAGTTTGCAAGGACAAAAGAAATAAAGCTGAAAAGGATCTATTATCATGAATGGATGTCGCCAAGGATTTTTTGTTGCTGCCTCAGTCTTAACTTTCCCAAGTGACTGTACTTTAAAAAATTTGTCTTCAAGAAGCTGTCATACTGGCATCTGTGGTATAGCTGGTAACTTTTATGCTGTTGCACGCTGAACATGTAAATTCGATGTCAGAGTGTGGAAGTTTTTTTTATCAAGTATCTCTGTCTGTCTGCAGGGAGTTTGTGTATCCCATTTACCCGGGTTGTGCCTGACAGGCAGGGTTGTAGCAGCCTGCCCCTCAAATTATCTAAGTTGTGTCAATGGAGGCGTAAAACACTGGCAATTTATTTTAAAAGCAATTATTGATAATGTGAATCAATTCCGTTGTTCTCCGACATAATGTAGGCCGCTTGTGTTTTCTGGTGTGGAACTGGAACTGGAATATTCATTATGCTTTGTGTGTGTGGAGTTCTTTTGCAGATTTTGTCGCATCATTCTGAAGACATTATAATAATAAAAGGAAATATTGAAAAGGATTTGTACAATGTTTTAATTGTGCAGAAAGTCTTTTATTCTACAATATTTGTAATACAATGAAAGGAAAGAAAGCATTGATTGTTCATACATGTACTTTGTTTTAAAAAAGATTTCATAATAACTTTTAAAAGTAAGACTAGATCTATACTTACGTGTACTTTCATGATTTTGCTGGTGCAGTTTTTAATCTCTGTGTCTTTTCTTTTGTTCTTTCCTTGTGGGGATTATAATAATATGGTCAGAATGTTTGTGTGAATCTACTGCCACTGTAAGATACGAGCATGTGATTTTATTGTCACAGCAAAAGATGTTCTTTATCTGATGGACAGCTTGGTGTATGCTTTATGTCGTAGAAATCATAGGCTGTGGTAGTCATAGCTTGAGAATTTGACTTTGTCTTTTCAAATGGTGTAAGTACATATTCAAGGACCATGGTGAAAAAAATAAATCCAGGTTTTTTTTAAATGGCTATAATGAAAGCGTGATTCAAAGTCTGAGCAAACATTACTATAAAGCTGTTAGATGGCCATTTTTATCATAGTCAATTGAATGAGTGTTGGAAGGTGAGGCTTGTCTCTCTATCTAGAAGAAAAGCGTGCATATAAAGGAGTGTTTTCTACAGCAGCCTTTTTCACAGCTGGACTCCAAGTGGTTTTTGTGAAGTTACTGGTATGATGTAGACCACAGGAAAAGTATTTTTTAGGGTACGTAAAAAAGAAAAATACAGTATAACTTGGATAGGTCGAGCACAGAAGATTCGAAATAATGCATCCGTCGGACTGTGCCTTCTTTATCTTTGTAAGGTATCCCTCGATTTACCGAGGCCGGTCTCGATGAATTGGAGCCATCCGTGTTATACTGTACAATGAAATCCATGTAAATAGTAAGAGGTTGATTTTATATTTTTTCCATTATAATTGACCCCAACATATGTTACTGTTCTGCCAAATTTCATGTATTTGTTTACTAAATGACGGGTAGGTTTGGTTTGATTTAACATGAAGAGAGGATTGGGAAGTCCCATTTTTGGTCTCAATTAGTCTGAGATTTTTCTTTCTCGTAGTGCAATAGAATTCGCTTGGTAATTTTTAAAGATTGTGCTTAGGGATACAGAAACCATCTATCTAATCACGAAACTTATCTAGTTGGTATCTACCCTCTCTCCTACAAAGTCAGGGGACACTTAAAAAGGCCATTGAATTCCTCATATATTATTATTATAATGAGAAAGACAGTCCGCAGTTGTCCAATATAAGTTGTTTAAACAATATCATTTCTAGTCAATCAATGTCCCCTCCATAAATTATGTATTGTCCCATCTAAAGACTTTTCATTCCCAGAATGCTATAACTAAAATGCCTTTCATGTGTCCACGTAATTTATGTGCAGCTGGTTTATGGACCATACTTATTTTCAGTATTACATTCTTCCTAGTCTGTTCCTGATAGAATGTGGCCATTGTTGTGTCTGTTGGTCTTGAATTAGAACTCGTCAGCAGTTACAGCATGTGTTTATAATATTAATATAATGTATGTTATGCGGAGTAAAGACACAGGTTGGAGTAAACCAGCAAGGTTGTGACAAGCTTATGATAGACTTGGATTTCTACGAGTGCTACATGACCTTTATTTGACGGTAGGCAATGGCTTACCTCTCTTGTTTCTGTCTGTCTTGCCTTGGCTATTGCTGGGTAGAAACTATTATTATTATGCTTTTTAGTAACCGAGATCAGGGGTAAGAAAGGCGGAAATCCAGCTTTTGAACATTTTCTGACGGCTTGCCTGTATGTATTGCAATTTTGTCATAGACTTTGTGATGATAATCTTAGAATAACTTCATTGCCTTTTATGAAAAGATATTGGTAAAAACCCCCCGAATATTGTGGTAAAGAAATGAACGTTCATAGACATGTACTGTACATGATTTCAAATGTCCGAACCACTTACCATGTCTTTTCGTTCAATGTTAACTCTTACATCAAATTTAATATATGTAGGGTGTAATTGCCCAATTCTCGCTGAATTTAAACATTTTTAGGCTCTTTTTTTTTGGTCAGCAGCCTCCCAGTGTAAGATGAGGTTATGTGACTTGCGTTGTTATGGTGCTCATGTACAGCATTAGTTTATATTTTGTACTCAAGTTGGTTGTTTAGTAGTGCTGAAATTCAGATCTGACGTGTTCAAAGGATGGTAGGAGTCTCCCTTTTCCTTCTCTTTCATTCTCTCACTGTTGGTGGTTGGAGGGCACCATTTGAGGGATTCTGCGTTTTATTGTCCTTTGCTGTTGCTTATCAGACTGTTTTACTTTTTCCCTTCTCCAAATAGATGCCCCCCCCCCCCAGGGCAGTGGTACTTTTTAGGCCATTCCCAAAGGAGGGATATTAAAATGTTCTTATGCATAGTAGAATTGTAAATGAGCTGATTTATCAATGTCATGCTCATACTGTGCTGAAATAACATTGGGGGAACTGCTGTTTTTTCTTTCCCCAACCTTACTATTGTCATTTCTCCTCTACTTCTTTTGTATGTTTGTCACTCTCTTGTGAACTGCTATTTCTGGGGTGCCTTGATAGTCGAAGCAGACTTCGTGCTGTTTAGGCTAAAGAGGTGAGCAGAGTAAGCCTGATTTCCGGTTTGGACTTCTCTGTTGACATCCATCCCTTGGTACTCATATGACCTTATGCAGTTGCGAACACCGTAAAACAAAACAAATCGATGGCCGAGTGCAAGACTCCGGCGAATAGGTTCTTGCATCCAGCCATCCAACTGGAAGTTATCGTAAAATTGTCCTCTGTAACTCTCACCATTGCCTGGGCGAGTGGTTGGAGGGCGGGACGTAACTGGTACATCCTGCTTCTTTTCTTTCTTTCTTCTTTTTTAATCGGTTTATTTTTAACAATAACACCCCCCTTTTTTTATCCCCTCCATTCCAAGAATAAAATTTATTATGTGGATGTACATTGTACTTCTCTTTGCTCAATAAACAATTTCCTGAACTGGCCAGGCTGGTCCAGTTAATAAAAGACTTGACCCATGTCCAAACTTTGATGATTCGAGTCCAAGCTGGATTGTTTTTCTTTCTCTTGTATTTTATTATTCTGGTAGCCGACTGCAGTAGTATATTATTTCGCCATATTCTTGTGTTCTGTTATGACATCAGCTCCTCTTCCTTTAAAATGTTTTATGTGAAGGGAACTCGACCACCTTATCCTCTGTCATGGGTCATATATTCTTTGCTTGTCATACCAAGTGTACACTGCCAATTTCGTCCATTTGATTGAATTGGGCCCAACCAGACTTTCTTTCAAGGATGTGGCAAAAATTATGATTTTTTTACAATATGATTGGGCTGACCTAAATTCGATTATTATGACTTTAAAAAATCAAACACGTTTGTTTTCAAGGTGGTGAGTCAAATGAGTCCTACGGTGTCAAAATGAATGAAATTGGCAGTGTGCATTTGATAAAAGTTGGTTGGCCCAAGTACACTCCTTAGGGGTGTCCTCCCTTGTCTAGTGGTTGGGGGTTGCCATATATTGTTATGGTTCAATGTTTTGCTCCGCTGGGTAGGATGTGTGCCCTTGGAATAGGTATTGTCCTCTTCTCTGCTCAGTTTACTCAGCGCAAATGGGAAACTGGCACTCAGCATGGAGGAAGGGGAGGGGGGGGGGAGGCGATGTGCCATTGATTGCATTTAAGCGCTTATCAGGATGCCTCCCGTAAGTCTTCTATGAAAGGCAAAATTGGAGTAGAAAGGTCTTGGAATGTTTCTTCATTCTATAGTCTATCAGTCTTGCTTTTTCCTCGCTCTAAATTACCGTTGTGTGGTTCTTTTGACTCAAGCAAAGAAACGAAAACATAACACTTGATGTAGGTGAGAATGGAGAATGCAAATTAGTATTTATTATGTTTGTTTTTCGAGGCAAACGTATTTGGTGTTGTAGTAGGCCTAAAACGTGTACTACATCGCATTACTTTCTCGTTTTCTTGAACTAAGTCTTTGTCGTTCATGTCCTGGTCACTATTTGTGCTTCAGACGGATGCTCGTCTGCTGAATGTTGTGGGCTGGGGAAGAAAGAAAATCGACTGTTACATAATGTACATCATGTGGACAAATAGAAGCCGTGTCGAATAGTGTGAAGTTAATTTAAAGATTATATCGTTGGTGTCAAATGTTGGATGGGTTTTTACTCGGCTGTTGAAGAGAGTGTGTTTGTGTGTGTGTGTGTGTGTGT